GGCCGTATTTCGGACTATTTCAAATTAGGGCCTTATTAAGGACTATTTGAAATTAGAGCCGTATTAGGGACTATGTCAAATTAGGCCCTTAGTAGGGAAATTCCAAATTGGCGCCTTGGAATCTGTTGCCGGAATCTTCTATATAAATTCCTGTTTAAAAACCATTCAAAAACAATCAAAATCTAGGAAATCAAGGAGATCCCTAATACTTAAGAGTCGTGCCAACCCCCCCCCCTAATTGAGAGGATCCGAGCCGCAATGAACTTTAGTCTTGGCCCTTTGAAAGATAGTCTCGGGGGCAGATTTCAGGATGTGGAATTTTGCCGAACCCGTATTTACTATTAGGGGGGTTTTAATGTTAGGGGGAAGGGAATAGCGTGCTTTGACCGTGGCCAATGTTGCAAACTGACGTTCACATGCCGTGTGCAGGTGGAGTGTACGTCGGAGAAAACATCACAGTGGAGGAGGAGGGCGAGCTCCACATACAGAATTCCAGGGCAAAATTTCATGGAGGACTCCGTCAGCGAATCGTTTCAGGTTGGCCTCGTGACATGTTTCAGCATGCGTGCTGTCCTGCATCCTGTGGGTTTGGCGAAACATCCTGGAAGTGTCCGATGTCCCTTGCAAGGAGGTGTCTGGGCCAAAGCGATGGTGGTCTCAGGCGGCCATGTGGACACACGGAATGCGACAGCAAAACAAGTTGGAGGCTGTCGGTTACCCTTGATTTGTCGAAAGGAGTTGTGTTGTGCATCTAGTGGAGACATGTTGGGACCACTGAAGGTTTCTAGCAGTTTATGGAAGGAATGATATTGCTCATCGCTTGCGAGTCCGATCTTCAGCTATCGAAGTAGGAAGGTAAGTCCTAAGTGCGCTTACCGCAAATCTCATGGAGCGGATTCTCCAGCGTGTTGTCGCCAGGCGGAGTCTATGTTTTGGCGAATCTACGTATTCGTCATGGAAGCATCCGCGTTCAGAATGCTGAAGCTAAACTCGGAGGCAGTGCAGTAGCTCACAGCTTATTGATGCATGGCTTTCCGATTAGCCTGCTTTGACCGTGGCCAATGTTGCAAACTGATGTTCACATGCCGTGTGCAGGTGGAGGTGGAGTGTACGTCGGAGAAAACATCACAGTGGAGGAGGAGGGCGAGCTCCACATCCAGAATTCCAGAGCAAAACTTAGTGGAGGACTCCGTCAGCGAATCATTTCAGGTTGGCCTCGTGACATGTTTCCGCATGCGTGCTGCCCTTGCATCCTGTGGGTTGGGGCGAAATATCCCAGAAGTGTCCGATGTCCCTTGCAAGGAGGTGTCTCTGCCAAAACGATGGTGGTCTCAGGCGGACGCGTGGACACACGGAATGCGACAGCAAAACAACGTGGAGGCTGTCCGTTACCCTCGATTGTCGAAAGGAGTTGTGTTGTCCATTCTGTGGAGACATGTTGGGACCACTGGAGGTTTCTAGCAGTTTATGGAAGGAATGAAATTGCTCATCGCTTGCGAGTCCGATCTTCAGCTATCAAAGTAGGCAGGTAAGTCCCAAGTGCGCGTACCGCAAATCTCATGGAGCGGATTCTCTAGCGTGTTGTCGCCAGGCGGAGTCTATGTTTTGGCGAATCTACGTATTCGTCATGGAAGCATCTGCGTCCAGGATGCTGAAGTTGAAGACGGAGGCAGTGCAGCAGCTCACAGCTTACTGATGCATGGCTTGCCACTTGGCGTGCTTTGGCCGTGGCCAATGTTGCAAACTGACGTTCACATGCCGTGTGCAGGTGGAGGTGGAGTGTACGTCGGAGAAAACATCACAGTGGAGGAGGAGGGCGAGCTCCACATCCAGAATTCCAGAGCAACACTTAGTGGAGGACTCCGTCAGCGAATCATTTCAGGTTGGCCTCGTGACATGTTTCCGCATGCGCGCTGCCCTTGCATCCTGTGGGTTGGGGCGAAATATCCCAGAAGTGTCCGATGTCCCTTGCAAGGAGGTGTCTCTGCCAAAACGATGGTGGTCTCAGGCGGACGCGTGGACACACGGAATGCGACAGCAAAACAACGTGGAGGCTGTCCGTTACCCTCGATTGTCGAAAGGAGTTGTGTTGTCCATTCTGTGGAGACATGTTGGGACCACTGGAGGTTTCTAGCAGTTTATGGAAGGAATGAAATTGCTCATCGCTTCTGAATCCCATCTTCAGCTATTGAAGTAGGAAGGTAAGTCCCAAGTGCGCGTACCGCAAATCTCATGGAGCGGATTCTCCAGCGTGTTGTCGCCAGGCGGAGTCTGCGTTACGGCGAACCTAGATATTCGTCGTGGAAGCATCCGCATTCAGGATGCTGAAGCTGAAGACGAAGGCAGTGCAGCAGCTCACAGCTTATTGATGCATGGCTTTCCGATTAGCCTGCTTTGACCGTGGCCAATGTTGCAAACTGACGTTCACATGCCGTGTGCAGGTGGAGGTGGAGTGCACGTCGGAGAAAACATCACAGTGGAGGAGGAGGGCGAGCTTCACATCCAGAATTCCAGAGCAAAACTTAGTGGAGGACTCTGTCAGCGAATCATTTCAGGTTGGCCTCGTGACATGTTTCCGCATGCGTGCTGCCCTTGCATCCTGTGGGTTTGGCGAAATATCCCAGAAGTGTCCGATGTCCCTTGCAAGGAGGTGTCTGGGCCAAAACGATGGTGGTCTCAGGCGGCCGTGTGGACACACGGAATGCGACAGCAGAAGAGATTGGAGGCCATCCACGCATTTGAAGCTGTTTTCAAGTCATTTTGCATGCGTAGGTGTCTTGGACCGAACATCTTTCAGGCTAGCTGCGGTTTTCCAATCATTCTCCAAAGGCCGAGTCCGTTCTTCCGTGTATTTCCTCGCATCCATGATGCGCCTCTGATCACACATTCACGATTTCTATCTGCTTCATGTTCTTGCTAGAACCTTGACCTGCATGTTGTTTGCATGCGCAATCTTGTGCTTCTCCAAAGTGATCATGACCACTACATTAACATCATTCCTGACATCTAGATTGAAACTAAGATCTAGAATGCTGATCACTGTTTTTGTTATCGGCTTATTGGAATGCAATACGTACAGTGGCGATCAAATACTATCTCAAACATGTTGGAAACGGAGGCAACATTGAACGGATGACTCATAGCTCGATAAAACTGAGCTATGCGAGCATCCGAAGTACTCAGGATCCCTTGTGCATTTCGCAGATGGCAACCCAGTAAGACCAACGCCATGGTCAAATACCTAGGTAGCCAAGATTCCTTCTATAGACTTACCTGTGCGGTCATCGTGCATCATACATCTTTGTCAGCCACAGCGGTTAGCCAGATGACTCACTCGTGGGAAATAATCTTTTCAAAGCCTGCAAGTACATGCACATGTACCCTGCTAACGTGGGGCCGGTCTTGCTGCACATCTTCCTTATCCTCATGATGGAAGATAAGCAAGCATTTCAGCAAAGTGGATCTAGGTTCTGCAGACCTAGGGGCACTTGTCAGAAAGCATTCTCCTTTCTTCCCCGCCTCAAGCATATCAGCATGGCCTGCAAGCCTACACTCCCCTCACATTTCATTTTGGAGGAGCCAATCAGGCTACTCTTCAAAGTCTGAGCGCTGGCCCACTAGACCCCAATTCAATCCACTTCAGCATGATTGAAATGACAGAGTATGAAAGTACAACCACTGCGACATCGCTCCCCTGCCCTGGCTCTCCCTAGCTTGTAAGTGCCACGGAGTTTTGCGTGCGGGAAGTCTCTGACAACCCAGATCGTTTTGGGTTACAGCCACGGCAGCGCATACTCAAGTACTCCGCGCCTTCCCTTTCGTCTGTTGGCGGCATCCACGCGCCGACCGGCGCTTTTCTTCCAACATTGGAGCTCATGGCAACCGTAAATAAAGCAAGCTTTCCGCTTCCAGCTGTTTGTTGGCAGATCGTACATACCCAGAAAAGGCTGGTCAAGAAAGAATAGCCAAGCGGCAAACCTGCCTAGCTTCACCTTTGGAAGTGAGACCTAGGAACATGGCTGGAGAAACGAACAACCATGGCAACGTCCCTCCAACCGCGCGCGCACGGAAAATCTCTACAAGAAAATGTGAACCCCGTAAACCCATGCTAGCCGCAAACTCCCAAACATTTTCTGGAAAAACGCGGCAACAGCACGCTCTTGCTGTTAACCTAGCCTCGTTAGGGGCTCGCAGGAAATTTCTGGCCGCATTGAAGAGTAGCGGTATAGCAGGTCAGGCTGATAGAGCTGAAACGGAAGGAGGATCAATCATAGAGAATCCTGACTGAGAAGCTGAATGATGTACGAGAAATATTAATACATCAGAAGCCCACAGCAAGCTCAAGGGACTCGTAATAAGCAGCCCGAGAGCTCCCATTGTGAGTGGTCTTCGGGCAATGGACTCGCGCCCGACAAGCCGCGCAGCGTAGATTCCCGCAGGGCAGTATGGACGACGCGTGAAGCTTGAAGCTGCACGTTTGAACCAACAAACGTGCAAAATGTTGCCCAGAGCGAACTGGCGTACCACATATGACGTGAGACTGGACGCTGATGAGCGTAGACTCTATGAACGTGATTGAGCATGATTGGACGCCTTTTAGGGGCATGCCTCTTGTACCCTCGCGGTACAGGTTAGACCCTTGCCCCACGTACTTGCATCTGCCACACCATACCAAATCGCCAGCTGAAGTGTTTGATCAAGAAACGGGTAACACAGCTTTCACTCCTCCCTGGCAGTACACGGAAGCCAAGCAAACATGCCTCGGGTGTTTGTCAGTGCCTGTTTTGCGTTCCACGTGCCCAACAAGTGAACGAAACTGGGGCATACGGAAGCTTGGATATGTGCCTTGTTTGTGAGGGAGCCGCAGTGATGTCCCACCGCCAGCAGTGTGTGTGCGCTTGCGCATTTTTGAAGGAGTGTGTACCCGCGCCAGGCGTAGAGATTCTTGTAGCTATGCTCCTGTGTCAAACTACTTGTGTTCAGATGCCCTCCCTGCATAGGTGGCCTGCACATCTATCAGGACCGGAAGGTGATAGCAAGCGGCTTCACTGTACAAGGCTGTCGTGCGAGACAAGGGGGCGCTATCTCAGTGGGTTCGGCTCACTTTAATGAGTTGCGTCTGCAGAACAACTCTGCCCACATGGGTGGTTGCGTGCACAGCGATGGAGATTTAGTGGTGGATGGTCCAGTACACATGATGCATTGTCTGGGCTCGGTGATGGGAGGAGGCTTGGCAGTGAGCGGCAGGCTAGAGTTCCAGAATGGCAGCTTTGAAGGCTGCCAGGCCCCTTCGGGCGCGGCTTTCTCCGCAGAAGGCCAAGTGACCGTTGCACATATTGACATAGTGGGAGCGAGTCTGGGCGCCGAGATCATGTCTGGAGGTGCCTGGATGCTCAGAGCTTGCGCTGCATCAACACCACAAACTGCAGGGTCCAGGGACCCAAACTGCATGTGGAGCGCCTTTACTGCGCTAGAGGAAAGGGTCGCAAGGATCACAATGGATGGATGGGTTGCGAGCCATGTGATGAAGCTTACACCAAGCTACGATCTGACTTAGAAAGTTGCCAACTTTGTCCCGAGATCTCGGGGCAAAACATCCTTTGTGAGCCGACTCGATTAGGGGTGCCACCGGGCGTGATGGCCGGGCCCTCAGACTGCGGGTGCGAGGCAAAGTGGTGCAAAAGTGGGAGCTGCAGCAGAAGCCTTCCAGTATCTACTGGTGCTGATGTTGCTGGACCCAGGTAAATGTCAATCTGACCGAAGGCGAGAACCTTACTGAGTGGGCTTACTGCCCCAACCCTGCAGCCTGCCCGGGTGGGTTCCTGAATGCCAGCGCTGCCCCGGGCCAGGCCATCGAGGCCTTGTCTTGTAAAGTACAACCCTTTGATGATCCCATAAATTTGGTATGATGCCTGGCTTGAAATGATTGCAGGCGAGATGTAGTGTTTGCGTGTAGGGATATACATTGTCGGGTGCGTTGTATTCCTTGAGATTACTCTTAAACCCAGATCTGAAATCCAACGTCCGAAGGCCCGACAACTTTAGACACTCAACCCCGAACATGACGCCCAAACCCTCATTGTAGCGCTTGTGCAGGTAGTAAATCCAATGTGCTTGCCTGGCTACACTGGTCTGGGGTGCCTCGTGCTGCAATGATGGTAATGATTGTGGGATCACCTTTCGGGTCTCCCAGCATGGGGGTTCAGTTCCTTAGGACCCCTATGCTAGTGTGGGGCATGCGGTGGCGCATTGAAGAAGCTCTGTGGGCCTTGAAGGGGTGGGGAGTTGGCGAGTTGCATGATTTCAGCATTGGCGAATCAGAGTACAGAAGCCAAACTGGCGCACAACTGAAGGGGTCTTAGAGAGTCATGCTAGGACACATTCAGGAGATATGACTCGACAATGCGATGATGACGCAGACCGGTTCTGATTGTTGGGGAGATTCACCAACACCAGCTTTTGAATCCTGGTACAGGGTGAGATGATCTCAACAACGTTTGGAATCAATACGTTTGCCAAAAACGAAGATGTGACTTTCATGAAACCATATCTCTCAGCAACTCGAACATGGAAGCACCATACTGTATTTTTCAGTATTGTCTGACCGTAAGCTTCTCGGCGTGCCAAACCTTATGCAGACCCTCAAATGAGCCCCAAGCCCTTTAGGCTCAGCATGGGCAAGTATGGCGTCATACCTCCTTCGGGTGGTGCAGGATTTTTCCTTCAACAGTAGGTTTCCAGAAGCCATATATGCGCACGGAAGGCATGTTTGCAGTTCGGGGAGTAATGGGATTAATGGGAAATGCTACGAACTAAGCTGAAAGAGGACTAGTTGTTTCTTTTTCAGTTTCTGAGGGGCAGCTTGTCTCAGAGCCTCAGAAAGCTTTCTTGCTTGGTCTCCCAAGCATGTGAGAACGTTGAGCAGGTGTGAAGATGTTCAAATCAAGAGGCAGCAAGTGACAAATCAGTACACAGCCTTGCACAAGCTGAATGTTCGTGTAGGTTGGAAAGAAATGGCGCAAGTGCTAATGGCCCGACTCCAGGAGTAGGGCCTGTGGCAGGGAGTACCGCTACAGGAAGTTGTCATGCTGACTTCGTAGTCCTATCTTGGATGAAGGAAGTCTTGCACCGCCTTGTATAGTCTGAACCCTACAAACAGACTCATGGGATCCTCCGTGGTGCAAGACGTCGTCTATCCATCGTGGTACTGTCGCCATGAAGGCTCCAGCTTATGGGGGTCATACATTTCAGTGAATCCTGCTCGCGTATAAGAAACTTCAATACCACTACCATCCTGCCTGGTCGGTTTGCCAGCAATATCTACAAAGATCTTCTTGACTGTTTGCAGAAAGGTGCACCACGTGCAACACCATGTATGGACGCACGGACACGAATGTCCTCCGCTGTATCAAGTGTTCCGAGACCCTTCAGGAGGCACGAGTGGAAACAAACGACTTGGCAATGCCCTGCATTTGCTGTCCGCATGAAAAGCCCAGGGCTTTAACACTGGGGTGCGGGAGTCTTTTTTCAGACCTCTGTGTGCTGATAAGCCTTAGTCAGATGTGTTGGTATCGGGCAGCCTTCTAGAGCCTCCACCCAACTGAGCTTGTGCTGTTATCTTGGGCCCAGTCATTGCCTGCGAATTCCTTAAGCAGTCCGCGCCCTATCCAGATCCTCAAATTGTTGACTTTGATGCTCGAACAGTGCGATTTTTTTGCGGTAAGTTTACTTGTAGAGATTGCACTGAACAGTGGAAGGGCTGGCAAAAGTCAGAGCAAAAACCCGTAGAAAGCCATGGGCAGTCGTGGCACCAGTCCACGAAGCAGTGCAAGTAATTGTTATTTGGTCAGGGCACCTTGCAGTGCAGATCAGGAACGGGCCTGCATACCCCCGCGCTCTGTGAAACAAACATCCATTTGGGAGCCATCCTGGCCCCAAATCTCCAGGCAAGACTTCACTTAGGTCCCTGCCCAGCTTCGGCAGGCCTCCCTTTTCGTGGCCGCTTACGTTGTGAACAACATTGGCCTATTCGCTTCTGCAGTGGCTAGTGCCTGTGACCCAGTCAGAGACAGCCCTCGCACTCGGGAGCTTTCTTGAGCATGCTTGTGTTCGTGCGACTTTGGTGATAGCGACGGTGCTTCCTGTTGCTGCCATCATGAACACAAGTCTCATCCTGAGTTGCCAATGCTGTGCTGACGGTGACGGTGATGGTGGTGATGATGATACTGATGGTGCTGACGATAAGTGATGGTGGATACTACGAGTGCTTGCATTCTTGTGCCAGGTTGACAGCAGCGAACGTGCCGCCAGCTCAATCATCCTGAACCAACTTCTCGCTTTCGCAGCGGTGGCCGGAATTGCTATGTCTCCCAGCCAGCAAACAGAGCAGTTGGCAGAGAAACGCTGACGACCTTGAGAACATGACCACGATGACACATCTAATAACCGCGCGGATAGTCGTATTTGACCATCGTGAAAGCAGTACCGCTGTACATAATACCGCTGAAACTACAGGTTCCAAACATCACAATGCTCCACGGGTAGCTTTCAGTGCCTAGTGCAATGCATGCTGATGAATACGCTTTTGACAATTTTGCTGAAGAAAGTGTGCTGCCACTTTCTTTCAAGGCAACTGTTGATTGTTGAGCTAGCTAGCGGGCCAGTGAATGTAACGGAACTTCACCATGCGCAATGGAGGAAGGCACTGGTTGACCAAACCTCAGTACTTGAGCTGGTGTGTGAACGAGCCGGTGCTTGTCCACTGGTTCTAGCAGTCGTCACAGCAATGCTTCTGGCATTATCAGGCAATGGCGATGATTTCTCTTGTCGTGCTGCATAGGTCAGCGACCATGCAGACCGGCACCTTCCAAGTCATGGCAGAGCAAGCGCAGGATGTTCCATCGCGGTTCGCAGGTTACAATGATTCATATCACATACTCTGCCAGCATTAAGCAGGATGAACATGTTAGGGGGTGCATTGATGAAGAGGGGCTTTCAATTCGATTTCGCTTGCGCAACTTGTATATCCCAGCCCTCTGTCTGATGGCAGGACCTGATCGACTACTTGTTTCTGCCAATAAGCATTGCGCAAGGTTCCGGAGGCCTGTTCGATGAATTTTCTGCTTCAGTTTATCCTCGACTCAACGTTTATGGCATGGGGTCTATAGTTCCGTTCATCTTGCGAATTTGGGGTACAGAGTTTAGGAATGTAGAGTTTCAACTGCTTCTTTGTGTTCTTTCAGTGTCATGAGTCATGAGTGCTAACAGAAGGAGTGCTACCCACACGTGCCCGTACCACGCAGGCAGCCAGATGTCCATGGACTGCTTGCTGGGCCTGCTGGCGACGGACCACAGATTCTTGGGCTTTACGGACTCTATTGACTGAAGTAAGGGATCATGGAGGGACTAATACATGGATACATTCCTCCATTCTCTGCTAACAACCAGTAAGGATGGCAAACTGCCCACCATGCACACCTTTTGCAGTCTGCTCTGCCTTTCAGCCTGGTGGCAACTTGGCTGGACCCTTCATTTCAGCTTCATAAACTTTCAACAGCAACAAAGATCTTAGTCATCCGTCCTCCTCCTTGTCCCCCCGTCCGATCATGTGACATTCAAGCGATGACGACGACGCCGCCAACGCCGGAGGCGACGGCGATGGCGATGGTAACCACTAGCATCAGTATTACTACTGTTGTCTACTGTCGATGCTGCTGCTACTAACATCATTGATACCTGAAGTTCATGTCTGCTTTTTGTCTTAGTTGAGAGAGCCGTCTCCAAACGAGACGCAAGGTCGGCCTCGCGGTGTTGAGGGGTCCCTGGTTGGCTGCCGTGGTGGGGAGTGACTAGGATCCCAAGGAGAAGAGTTTCTGTTTTGTTTGGGGTGATTGGAGGGGAAGGAGCCAGGACAGCCAGAAGAATCTTCTATGATATTCCTCCCAAACTTTCAGGCAACGTCTTCCTGCCAACCTTCACCGCTACTTTTGGCAAGTACCTGGTGGCGTATCGGTTGCAGCCCGAACATGGTCCCATGGGAGTGCCTATGCCACATAGTATCAGAAAAGTTGTTCGTAACTGTAAGTTCAGCATTTTTTCTCTTCATTCAGTTCGTGTTCAGTTTAGTGCCATGATTCCATGATGCCAGATGTAGCGGTTGGAGATATTTCACGGCTTCATTGCATTTCTGTGGAGACGCACCGAGTCTTGGGCGCTCAAAGTGTGGGAGCTTCACGGCGTCATGTTCTTACAGAAGTATCCCGTCGTGCCTATGCCCTAAGCCAAAATCTTTCACCTGTGCAAGGCATGGGTGTTCGCCTTCCTCCCATTCAACTCGCAACTGCCGCCCCAGCTGCTGTTTTTGGCCGTTTTGGCCTGCATATCTGCATGCTTCTTGCTGGGGGTTGGCAGCTGGTGGTTCCTAGCCACTCACCTCAACCTGAGAATTTGGCAGACTTGGTATACTTTGTTTTTGCAGTTCGTTCACGAAGTACACTTATTGAGTTCTGGAAGGAGTCTACAGTGTTGGGGGGGATCGGATTATGTTTTCACCATTTGGCGGCCTCTGTGTTGTGTTGAATCTGGGTAAGTGCGCCTAGCCTTCTCCCCAAAGTGCTCACGTCAGGCCAGGGACTGTGAGTTAGACGTAGCAGGCCTTTCCCTGCTTCATTCTTGAACAACGAAGCCCAAAAGCCCCGAAACTTGCACCCTGAAGCGGAGCCTTTGGCGGAGGTCCAGAACCGAAAAGATGTTCAGCCCTTGCCAGCTCACATTGACTACCTCATCAAGCCATACAACGCAGAGTGCACGCTTTGGGAGGTGGGCTTAGGGTGTTTACCCTGAAGCTCTGGACCCAACTGCTTTTCTGCACATGTGACATTTGGGTTTTTGATTCCTTCACCCAGCCGCACCTTCCACCAACCCAGTCATGATGCAGGCAGTGCGCTTGGTGCGCAAGATGCTATTGGGACTGGTTACCACCATGCTGCCCGTGACCCTCTCGCCAGCCACCTGTAAGCAGCTAGCACAAGTCATCTAGAGCTAAAGGTTTTCAGGATTTAAGGGGCTGCTGTGTGGCATGTCATGAATGTTGGGTTTGGGGTTCTCGATTTGTTGTGGGCCATTTCGGTGCTGGCCTCCCCCGCCCCCACCTTCAGTTACCAGGCCTGCTGAGGGAAGGTTGGAAGGCAAGAGCCAGGGAGGTGGGTTACAGCATGTTAAAGCACTCCGAAAAACTATCAACCAGGTTTGGATGGCTTAGTAGGCAGGAGCACAGGCGTCTGAATCCAAGCTGCTCGGATTCAATTTCTGGGGAGGGCTAGGAGGTTTAGAAGACTAAAAGCTGGAAGACTCCTTTGCATGCACGAGGGCGCTGGTCGCTAGTGAGTGTCACCTAGCATTCGAGCAATGGT